TGGCAATTATGAGTAAAGCTGGTATAAACATCCATGTACAGGTTTTTTTGTGAACATGTTTTCAATTTATATGGGTAAATACTAAGGAGCATGATTGCTAATGGTATGATAAGAATATGTTTAGTTTTCTAAGAAACTGCCAAAGTATCCCAAAATGGCTGTAACACTTTGCGTTCCCACCATCAATGAATGAGAGTTCCTGTTGCTCCACATCCTCTCCAACATTTTGTGATGTCAGTGTTTTGGATTCTTGTAATTCTAATAGGTATGTGGTTGTATCTCGTTTTAATTTGAAATTTCATAATGATGTATGATGTGAGCATCTTTTCATATGCATCTGTATATCTTCTTTGGTGAGGTGTCTGTATAGATCTTTTGCCCATTTTTTAATCATGTTGTTCATTTTCTTATTGTTGAATTTTAAGAGTTCTTTGTACATTTTGTATAATTGTCTTTTATCAGATGTGTCTTTTGCAAATATTTTCTCCCAGTTTTTGGCTCACCTGCTCATTCTCTTGACAGTTCTTTCACAGAGCAGAAGTTTTTAATTTTAACAAAGTGCAATTTATCAATTTTTTATTTCACGGATCATACCTTTGGTATTGTACCTAAAAATTCAGTCATCATCATACCCAATATTATCTAGGTTTTCTCCTATGTTATTGTCTAAATGTTTTATAGTTTCACACTTTACATTTAGGCTTATGATCCATTTTAATTTCATTTTTGTAAAGGGTATAACATATGTGTCTAGAATCTTTTTTTTAGTGTGGATGTCCAGTTGTTCCAGCACCACTTATTAAAAGGACAATCTTTTCTCCATTGCTCCTTTATCAAAGATCAGTTGACTATATTTGTGTGGATCTACTTCTGGGCTCTATTTTGTTCCACTGATTTGTCTATTCTTTCATCAATACCACACTCTTTTGATTACTGTAGTTTTATAGTAAGTCAAAGTCAGGGAGTGTTAATCCTCTGATGTTCTTTTCCTTTAATATTGTGTTGGCTCTTCTGGGTCTTTTGCCTCTTTTCATAAATCAGTTTAGAATCAATTTGTTGATATCCATTAAATAACTTTCTGGGATTTTGATGGAATTGCCTTGACTATAGATCAAGTTGGGAAGAACTGACATCTTGACAATATCAAGTCTTCCTATCCATGAACATGGAATATCTCTGCGTTAATTTAGTTAGTTTTTTATTTCTTTCATCAGAGTTTTTTATAGTTTTTCTCATGTATATACATATCTTCTACATATTTTGTTAGATTAATGCCTGAGTTGTTCACTGTGGGGGTGCTAATATAAATGGTATTTTAAATTTCAAATTCCACTTGTTTAGTGCTGGTATATTTTAAAAAGTGATTGAATTTTGTAAATTAACTTTATATCCTGTGACCTTGCTATAATTAGTAATTAGTATGATTACTTCCAGGAGTTTTTTATTATTGATTCTTTCAGATTTTCTACATAGATAATCATGTCATCTGTGAACAAAGACAGTTTTATTTCTTCCTTCCAAATATGTATACCTTTTATTTCCTTTTTTGCCTTTTTGCCTTAGCTGGGACTTCCAGTCCAGTGTTGAAAAGGAGTGGTGAGAGAGACATCCTTGCCTTTTTCCTGTTCTTAGTGGGAAAGCTTTGAGTTTCTCACTGTTAAGTATGTTGTTAGCTATCAGTTTTTTGTAGATGTTCTTTGTCAAGTTGAGGAAATTCCTCAGCTATTCCTAGTTTGCTGAGAATTTTAATCATGAATAGGTATTGGATTTTGTCAAATGCTTTTTCTGCATCTACTGATATGATCATGTGACTTTTCTTCTTTAGCTTATTGATGTAATGGGTTACATTAATTGATTTTTGAATTTTGAGGTAACCTCGTAAACCTGAATAAATCCCACTTGATCGAGGTATAGAATTCTTTTTATATATTGTTGGATTAAATTTGCTAATATTTTGTTGAAGATTTTTGCATCAATGTTCATGAGCGATGTCGGTATGTAATTTCCTTTTCCTGTAATGTCTTTGTCTGGTTTTGGTATTAGAGTTATGCTGCCCTCATGAAATGGTTTAGGAAGTATTCCCTCTACTTCCGTCTTCTGGAAGAGATTGTAGAGAATTGATGTCATTTCTTCCTTAAATGCTTGGTAGAATTCACCACTGAACTCATCTGGGCACAGTGTTTTCTGTTTTGAAAGGCTATTCACTATTGATTCTTTGATTTACTATTGATTTCTTTAATAGATATAGACCTGTTCTGATTGTGTGTTTCTTCTTCTGTGACTTTTAGCAGATTCTGTCTTCAAGGAATTGGTACATTTCATCTAGGTTATAAAATTTGTGGGCATAAGGTTGTTCAAAATATTCCTTTATTATCCTTTTAATGTCCATGGGATCTATAGTGATGTCCCTCTTTCATTTCTGATATTAGTAATTTGTGTCTTCTCTCTTTTTTTCTTATTTAGCCTGGCTGGAGGCTTATCAGTTTTATTGATCTTGAAAAAAAAAAAACAACCAGCTTTTGGTTTTGGTGACTTTCTCTTTAGATTTCTTGTTTTCAATTTTATTGATTTCTCATCTAGCTTTTTTCTAAATTTTATTTCTCTTCTTTTGCTTACTTTGGATTTAATTTATTCTTTTTCTAGTTTCTTAAGATGGAAATTTAAGATTTATTGCTTTTAGATCTTTCTTCTTTTCTAATATATGCATTCAGTGCTATAAATTTCTACCTAAGCACTGCTTTGCTGCATCCCACAAATTTTAAGTAATATTTTCATTTAGTTCAAAATATTTTTAAATTTCTTTCAAGATATCTTCTTTAGCCTAAGTGTTATTTACAAGTGTGTGGTTTAATCTCCAAATATTTTGGAGTCTTCCAGTTATCTTTCTGTTACTGATATCTAGATTAATTCTCTTGTGGTCTGAGAGCATACATTGTATAATTTTTATTCTTTTAAATTTGTTAATGTGTTATTCATGGTCCAGAATGCGGTCTTTCTTGGGAAATATTCCATATGAGCTTGAGAAGAATGTGTATTCTGCTCTTGTTGGATGAAGTAGTCTACAGTTATCAGTTATACCTAGTGGTTGATGGTGCTGTTGAGAACATTAATTCTAAGAAAAGGGTCTCAGTTTTTATTAGATTGTTGGTGGAGTCCATGACCTACAGAACTGCAAGGAGCTCTGTTCTGAATATTGTAAGGAGTAGTCTTTCTCCTCCCTTCTCCCGTGGTCTGAACTAATGTCCAAAGCTCTGTCCATGTGCATAATTGGGAGCATCTGGTGGTTTTTCACTCTGGAGCCTTAAAATTTGCACCTCTAATAAGTTACCAGGAGATGCTGATGCTACTGGTCCCAGGACCACACTTTGAGAACCACTCATCTCCCACCATGCAAGGAGTAAATGATATAACATATATAAACTATTTGGCATAATTCCTACCACTAATGAACATTAAATTTATGGTAGTGATTGTCAGTATTGTTGGTATTATTATAAGCTGGGGATAATAATACTTGCTCATGGGATTGTTGTAAGGATTAAATGAGTTAATCCATGAATGTGCTTCCAAGTGCCCCAGACACTTTAATCCCTCAGTAAAAGTCAGCTTTTAAAATGATTAATTATTACTAGTACTGTAGTAAGGGTTCTCCTAGTAATGGCCTGCTGGACTAAGGGAACCCATAAAAACATGGTAGAACTTTGACACATGGATCAGCTATGGGCATTCAAGAAGCATCGACTATATGCAAAGCTCTTGGGGAACAGAGAGTTTGAATCCTTTAAGGATCTCTCCCACAGATGCCTTTGGAGGCAGGAAGGAAACAGAAATAAAGGAAGCAGTAGTGATAAGGCAGTAGGGGATGGTAGAGCCTGGGCAAACTGGAAAGGACATGTTGTACCTAAAAGAAAAAAATGTATAGTGGTCAAATATATATATGTGACTAACAGTCACCTATGGCCTGTGGTGACCCATGCTCAAAAGAAGAGACTGCACGGGACTTCCCTGGTGGTGCAGTGGTTAAGAATCTGCCTGCCAATGCAGGGGACATGGGTTTGAGCTCTGGTCCGAGAAGATGCCACATGCTGCGGAGCAACCAAGCCCGTGTGCCACAACTACTGAAGCCCACGCGCTCTAGGGCCCCCATGCTGCAACTATTGAAGCCCACACACCTAGAGCCCGTGCTCTGGAACAAGAGAAGCCACCGCAGTGAGAAGCTTGAGCACCACAATGAAGAGTAGCCCCCGCTTGCCACAACTAGAGAAAGCTCGCATGCAGCAACAAAGACCCAACGCAGCCAAAAATAAAAATGTATATACAAGTAAATAAATAAATTTATTTTTTTAAAAAAAAGAAGGGACTGCATAGGCAGGTTGTTTGTGGCTGATGAGAGAGAGATGGAAATGGCCAGAACCTCAGTAGGCAAAGGGCACAAGATGATTGGGTAAGGGCATCAGTGAAGCCTTTCCACAGTTGGTGAGCCTGACTGGAACTGCGCCTTAATGGGGAGAGAGGATTTGGAGAAGCTCTGAGGAAGTTGGCCTCCTCACTGAGTTGGAAGCTTGAGGTAGGCCTTTGGCCTCCCTCTTCTCTGCACTAGCACATAGTAGGTGCTCATTAAGCAGTGAGTGAATTCCTGATGGGATAAATTGTTGATGGAGTGAGAGATTTCCTTTTGGAATGATTGGGGGGATTTTAAACACATCTCCAGAAGCTCTTAGAGAGTCTGCTGTCATCGTAGCTGACTGGCCTGAATTTGAATCCGACCTTATCTTGGAGCCTTGATTTACTTGCTATGTGACACTGGACAAGAAATTACCTTCTCTGAGCCTTAGGTTTCTTAATCTGTGAACTGATGATAGTAATTACTATCTCAGATTGGTTGCAAGGATCATAGAGGGTATAACTATGAATTTAGCCTTCCCGTCCTTTTCTAGGTTCTTTGAAAAAGAACATCAGAATCCCAGTTCCCACCTCTGCTTTCCCTTCCAGAGAAAAAGATCCCAATTGCAATATCTTACTCTCAATATAAGGAAGACCTGACAGAGGACAAGAAGATCCTTTTGGCTGCCGTGTACCTTGTCACCAAGGGAGAGAAGCTCCTGGTGGAGAAGGACATTACTCTGGAGGACTTCATCACTATTAAGGTGACTCCTGTAAGCTGTTCCTGGCAGGCCTCCGTCAGAGCTGGGGGAGGGCATCAGAGGCTGGGGGTTTGTGCTTTTAGCTCTGGCTTCAGCTCTCAAAGGTTGGAATAAGTGGTGTGGATGCAGGAGTATGGATATAATGATAGATCTCAGTAATGGGGTAGGTGGAAGCAAGGGGTAGACAAGTTTAACTCCCCATCCTCTGACCCAGCCAAGATCATGGGTTTCCTGGGAGAATGGGGAGGATGGGGGGTGACTTATGGGTACTGCCCCTCCAGGTGCTTGGCCCAGCCGCGGTGGGGGTGGAAGTGATGGTGGTCAACCCCCTCTCGGAGAGAGTGCAGGACTGTATGCTGATGGTGGAGGGCAGTGGCCTTCTCCAGGGACAGCTCAGCATCGAGTAGGTGTCAGCCTGGGGTGGGAGGGCTGCTTATAGCCCTTCCTTATAAAATGGGCCATAAAGACACTGCCAGCAGGGGGAGGAGGGAGAGATTCTGGATCCCCAGGAACCAGCCCACTGCCTAGACACATCAGCCTTTCTTCATTTATTCATTTCTTTATTTAATAATTAACTTATTTGGTCATATAACTTGTCCACTCATTCACATTCATATTTTCTTTCATTTATCCATTTACTTATTCATTCACTCACTCTTATTCATTTACTTTCTCCTTCACTCATTCATTTACACTTTTTTCATGTTTTCACTCATTCATTCATGTATTTATGTACTCAGCTCAGTTTTGACTGGTTCATTCATCCACTCATTCTTTCTTTAATTTGCTCACTCATTTACCTATTCATTCATGTATGCATTCATTCACACATATTCTATTTATCAGTGTACTCATTTATTTACTTATTCTCAATCATTCACTGATTCATTCATTCATTCACTCACTCACACTCATATGGTCCTTCATCATATTGGTCTGTGCTCTGACCCACCTGTCAACTGTTGGGAACACCAAGATGAACAGATGCGGTTCTGCTTGAAGAAGGACTCTCAGCAATATATGGCTCTTCAAATGAAGACAGTGTGATTTGTGCAAAGGGATGGACCCTCAAGGTCCAAGAGCTCAGAGATAGCCCTTGAGTTGGAATTGGGTGGGACCAGGGGAAAGCCCCAATGGAGCTGGTATTTAAGCTGGGGCTTAAGTGATGAATTGAGGAGATTTTCAGGGATCAAGAAGGATGGAGAACTTCCCAGTCAGAGGTCTCCATGGCTGGTATAGTCAGGGAAGGTCTCCTGGAAGAAGAAAAACTTAATCTGGGCCTCAGATGTAATTGGAATGGGAAGGGCACTCTAGGTAGGAGGAACAGACCAGACAAAAGCCCAGAGGAGGGGAAGTGTAAGGTATGTTCAGGGCACAGGGAGGAGACTAGCCTGACTGGTTGAAAGAAGCAAGAAGTGGTAGAAAGGATAACTAAGCTGAAAGCATATTGAAAGGCTTGAATGTCAAGCCACAAGGTGTGACCTTGATCCTAAGTGCTCTGGAGAGCTGTGGACTGGCAGACCAGGTTCAGGAAGGAGACAGAGCTGAAGGTCTGCCTTTCTCCCATCTCCCCAGTGTGCCCAGCCTGCAGCCCCAAGAGAGGGCCTCAGTCCAATTCAACATCATCCCCTCCAAGAGTGGCCCACGGCAGCTGCAGGTGGACCTTGTCAGCTCCCACTTCCCGGACATCAAGGTCTTTGTGATCATCCACGTGGCCACAGCCAAATTATGGGCCATGGGGGGCCAAGAGTGGAGGAGATGTCCCCTGTTCTCCTCCTGTCCACCTCTCTGCCCTTCCCATATGGGAGCCAGGAGGTCTGGGTTCCAGTCCTGCTTCAGCTTCTGCCCTACTCTGTGAACTTGGGCAAGTCCTTCCCCTCCTGGGCCTCAGTGTCCCTATATGCAAAATGAGGTGTTAGACTCAGTACCCCTTATACTTTTGGACAATGATGGATGATATAAGGAGCCACTACCACCTTCATCTCATCACCCTCATTGCTGATGGACTAATGGACTGAGAGTCACAGTAACCTTGGCCCACCTGGCTGTGCCACCTCCCGTCAGCCAGTTCACCATCACCCTGGCTGACCCCTGCACTCTCCTTGCTTGTCTCTCAACTCTTCAATGCTCTGGCCACAGCAAGATCAAGAATATTCTCCAAGCTCTGACAGAGAACCCAAAAGTTTTGGCACTGACACCTAAATATCCCTCAACACTCCTGTCTTACACAGAGGGGACAGTCTAGCCTATGGCCACGGGGTAAGCTAGAGACAGAGCTGGGGCCTTTGTGCATGCCATTTACACCAGCAAAGTTTTACCCCAAAGTCATGTTCCTGAAAAGCATTGGGTTTAAAGTGATGGGAGAATTTCCCTCAATGAAGACACAGGCCCAGCAACTGGAGGTGGGGAGGGGGAACGCGTGGGGAAGGGAGTGGTTACTGCTGCCTGAAAGAAGCTGAAGAAAGAGGAAGGGCCATCAAGCCCAGCTGAGTTTGGGGATAGAGCCCCAAATCTGATCTAGCTATGGTCATCAGGGATCTCGTACAACCAACCCAGCTACACCCAATGTTCATTTACTTCTTTGGAACCAGAACAGTGTTGCCTTTGAAAAACATCCCCAGCAGCTTACCCTACACACAATCACTCTCTTAGCATCAAAGCAGAACAGAGGCTACTAGGATGAGGACCAGAGTGGAGACCATCAGGCCCTGAAGATAACTGCATCAGACATAGAAATCAGCTCCGAAATGCTCTAGATAGCCAAGGAATTATAACTAAGCATGCAATTTAAATAATCTGAACTACAACAAAACAGGCACATCTGCAGTGAGACGTCTCCTGGTCATGACTCAGGTGAGAACAATTCATGAAGGGGGTCAGGCAAACACACAGACTTTTGCATGACCTTTGTGACCTAAGCCTTAATGAAGACATTTCTGATGATTCCACACAGCATGGGGACAGCTTCGAGAATCCAGATGAGTGGACGCATTTAATGAGTCAGGCCCTCAGCTCCAGGACTCCTCTCTAAGCCATCCAAAGGTTTTGGTTGCTGATCCTGTATAAAAAGGGCAGCTGGAGGTTCAGAGCAGGCAGCCATTTCCTCAAATTTGAGCAACAGGAAGGGGCCTTGGGGGCTGAAGTCAACAGGAGGCCATCTCCCACTCTTAGTACAAAGGACACACCTGTCAGGAGGGAGACCGAGATGGTCTCCCCTTGGGGGTACCCCAGACACCTCACTCTCCCCACAAACACCAACTGCCCATCTTCCTTAAGCTCGGCTGTCATAGGCTGAGTTTCCAAGGAAGCTGAGTCTGAGATGGAGCTTAGGGTGCAGGGTGTTGACTGAGGGATGACATTGGGATCAACCCCCATGGAAGGGAGGGGGAGGAAGAAGGAGGAAGGAACCAGAGGAGAAATCGGCCCATGATTCAGGCCCAGTGAAGCCTGGGCGCACCCCACGGGCAGCTCTGAAGCTAGTATGGCCTGTCAGAGTGTGTGTATTTGAATAAGGGAAAGTAGCTGAAGGTGATGGGGTCACCTGCCGGGTAGCTGCATCTCCAGCTCAGCCCCTTTGCCCTCGCACCTCTCAGCTGGGCCGAGGTAGCACTTCACTGGGACCAAACTGGTCTCACAGGTCCTTCTAGCTCCAGCTGAAAGCAGAAGCCACTGCAGCAGCCAGTGAGAATACCCTGGTCAGGACTGGGATAGGTGGGGACGTTGAGAGAAGATAGCCCAAGGGGGACTGTGGATGGAAATGCTTCTTTTGAAGCTGCAAAGAAAAATGTGCAGGTAGGGATTACCTGTCAGTTGATAGGGCAACACCTTGACAGTGCCCTTCATGGAGGAAGGCAGAACACACAGTTTAAGACTGCAAAACCTTAGAGTCAGCTGGCCATGGGGACCCAGAATGACACCAGCAACCTGAGACTCAGGCCTCCCCCTGCTTCCTTTAAGTCCCCTTGGTCTCTTAAATGCTGCCTTCAGGGAAGCTCTTGACACTGAGTTAGGTCATAATCTGGCTTTCATGCCAGAGAAGCCTTTAGAACAGCAGTTGGCTAGCTTTTACTGTCAAGGACCAGATAGTAAATACCTGGGGCTTTGCAGACCATATGGTCTCTGTTCCAACTACTCCACTCTGCTGCCATGGTGTGCAAGCAGCCATGGACTAGGGTAGACAAATAAGTGTGGATGTGTTGCAATAAAACTTTATCTACAAAAACAGGCAACAGGCCAGGTTTGGTCCACAGGTTGGGCTTTGCTGACCCTGCTGCAGAACAACATGTTGGTTCAGCTGCTTGCTCCAGGACTGAGTCCTGATGCCAGGCTATACCAAGCCTAGGATCAAGCCCAGACTTGAACTGAGGCCAAGCCCTGAGCAAACCCCACAAGGAAACTCAGATGAGGTTCCAGCTTGTGCTCATGACCTTAGATAGAGCCATCACTATCCATGACTGCCTAGACTTAGTCATGACCGTGATGCTAGAATGAGTCCTATACCTTGACCTCACACTAAGTCCTGGCTCCTACCACAGCTAACCCATGACTTGACTGGCCCTAGATCAAGCCCTGACCCAGCCCCAGACATTCCTGGCCCCAGACTGAGCTTCAATTCTGATATCTGATTGAGCCCTGAACCCAGGCTGAACCCTGGTCCCAAACAGAACTCTGGTACCGGACTGAGCTCTGACCCCACCCTGAGCCCTGATCCAGTCTCATTCCAAGTCCTGATCTCAATCAGACCCCAGCCAGATTGAGCTCTATGCCTTGGATTTCTCATCCAGATCTGAGTTTCTCAAATGGGGGCCCACACACCCCTCCAGGATATTTGATGTCACTGGGCAAACATGACCTGTCTTCTTGCACCAGGAATCTGAACTCACCTTCCTTTCCCTTTGAGGTACTTGGGCAGAAATATTTGAGAAGCATGGTGAACCACTGGATCCTCACATCTGTGTCATGCTGTGAGAGTCTGCACTCACAGCCCAGCTCTCCAGGAGTAAATATAAATGCCTGGCAGCTGACCAGGGCCCTCTCTCCACCCCTGTGCATTCACTTCTCTTACGCATTTGCCAAGAGTGGAAGGAGCTCTGCTAAGCACCTGACACCAGAGCAGGAGGTCATCTCCTGCTCTTAGTATAAAGCACACTCCTGTCAGCAGGGAGGCTCCATATGTCATCCAAGATGGTCTCCCCTTGTGGGAGCCCCAGACACCTCACTCTCCCTGCGAACACCAACTCCCTGTCTTCCTTAAGCTTGGCTGTCGCAGACTGAGCTTCTCAGGAAGCTGAGTCTGAGATGGAGCTTAGGGTGCAGGGTATTGACTGAGGGGTGACCTTGGGATCAACCCCCAAGGAAGGGAAGGGGAGGAAGAAGGAGGAAGGGGCCGGAGGAGAAGTTGGCCCATGATGCAGGCCCAGTGACAGCCTGGGCGCACACCCACGGGCAGCTCTGAAGCTAGAATGACCTGTTAGAGTTGCTCCAGACTTAGCTGAGATGGCTGGGCCTTCCTATGCTTCCATCTGTCACCAATTCGCCCCAGAAGGGGCGTGACTTTTGGCGACTCTACAGACAAGGCCATCCCTGAAGTGGCCAACAGCTGAGGGTCATCTGCAGGCAGCACTTCTAGCAGTTGGAGCAACAAGCCCTTCACTGAAGGAAAGTCTGGACAGCACATCTGCATGTCCACCACACCTGCGATCTGTTCAACGCAAGGACAGAGCAGTCGGATTCCAAGTTCCTTTCACTCATAGGGATTACCTTCCAGGTGGTATACAGAGGTATTCAATACATTTTTGAAGGTATAAAAAGTAAAATGAGAAATACAAGTAAACAAGCAAATTCATAAATAAATAAGTTAATTCAATTTAGTGAAACATGACAAAAAGAAAACAAAACGGAAGGCCACCTCTCCCCAAATGGTGGGGAGCTAGATTGTGGCATCAGAGAAAGACTTTCTGAGGAAGTGACGTTTAAGCTGAAATTTCAATAATGACAATAAAATAATGATTAAAAGCCAAATTAGTGTGTTTCCTGGAGAGTTCCTTACATGCCAGAAACTGTTTCAAGGGCTTTGCACATATTAATTTATTTAATGGTGGTAGAGCCCTGGGCAGTGTCCTAACCAGGTGATTTCTGCTATGACATAGTTGCTGTATGTTCCTGTTACCAGTCACTGTGTGACAAACCAACCCATACCTTAAGGCTTAAAATAATGACCATAATTATTTTGCTCATGAATCTACAATTCAGGCAGGGCTAGGTAGAGATAACTCATCTCTGCTCAACTTAGTGAAGCTAAGGTTTTACAGCTCAAAGTAAGTCTGGGATAATCTGAAGGCTTGTTTACTCATACTTCTGGTGGTCGATGCTGGCTGTTGGCTGAGTCCTAAGCTGGGCTGTGGGCTGGAACACCTACCTACTACCTCTCCACATGGCCTGGGCTTCCTTACAACATGATGGCTGGATTGCAAGGGGGAGCATCTCAAGAGAGAGAGTCAGATGGAAGCCATGTTGCCTTTATGATCTAAGATTGGGAGTCACCAGTGTCACCTCTGCCACATTCTCTGTTCATCAGAGAAGTTCAAAGGGAGGGGAAGTAGACCCAATCCATAATAAAAAGTGGAAAGATTCTGGAAGAGCTTGTAGGACTGGAAATACTGCTGTAGATATATTTGGAAATACATGATCTGCCATACTGCTTCCTGCTGCCTGCTTCCTAACTCTCTGGAGACTCATGGAATCCCGTATTGCCCTCTGTCTGGTCTGTCTGTTAGCATCCTCTCTAATTTCTACTCCATCCCCTTTTGCTTAAGCCAACAAAAGTCAGTTTCTTTTGCTTGCAACAAAGAACCCTGA